GTAGACCTTTATCACTGTGAATTTCACTGTGGACATAGTCTGAATTCAGCATAAGGAAAAAGATTCAGCTTCTTCTATATTTTTCAGAGACTTTGCATGCCACTCTTCCCAGCAGGTTTCAGACTGTCATCTACAGCTGCATTCTCACCACACCGATAGGACTCAGCACAAAATGGTGGATCATCCTTTCTAATGAATCATGTGATTTATCTTGTGATGGACTTACTATGTTAAGGTATCATTTCTCACGAATATTGTGAGTGAATGTATGGGATCAATTCATCGTGTTTTGTCTCACCTTGATCTTTGTCGGATCACCAACCAATGAGAATAGACATTTTCAGACAATAAGAACAGTTCATTCTCACGGTTTGAGCCGGAGTTAATATGGTTAAGAAAATGTATAAATATCATGTGTTGTTTGTTAAAATGTACAATACAATATCTTAGAGTCACAGGCCAGCCTTTGTCTTTTGATATTTGCATGGCTCAGTGAATCGGAAGGTACAACGGACAAATAGACGTATTTTAGCGTACCAGTCGAGTTCATTACCGTCATAGTAATTAACAGGCGCAGACATAACAAAATAGAGACGGATTTATTCATTTCAGTCCAGTTCAGTTATAAGAAATAGGCTACAAAGTTATAACACACACACACACACAGAGGATCGGATCCATTGTGGGAAAGGATGAGCAACAAGGAATTGTGACAATGAACCAATTAAAAACCAAACACCCAACAGATGTGCAGATGAAAATAGAGATGGATCGGACATACGTTGAGGAGATCGTCGGGTGTCATCAGGCGCCAGACCCTCGAGTTGTGCGTCCGTGGCACAGTGGTTATAACTCTCGCCGACCATGCACATGGTTCGGGGTTTGATCTCCTGCCAACGCACACCTGGTATCTATGGTTGACCTGGTAAAAATTTGGGCTACCGATATCACATGCTGAAAATTCCATACCTGCACCAAAAATACAGTGTGAAATCAAGCTGTAATGAAAAAAATAAAAAAGAGAAATAATAAGGTAACTGTCTGATATTAACATGAGGAAGATTGTGTGGAGGCGGGGGGTGGGGGAGATAAAAGACTATCGCCTGTCATGGGGCGAGCTCACGAAGACTGCAGAGAACAGGATGAAATGGAGCTGTGCTACTGAAGGTTTGTGTTCCACTTAGAACTTAGGGGAATAAAAATAAATCATATTATCATTACTGGTGTGAATATACAATATTGACTGTTAAATTCCACAAACTAGTTGTTAGGGTACCCTGGATTCTGACTGCATGTTTGATAGCATATTTCAGTAATATATATTTACAATCTTAAGGAAAATTAAGCCGCTTCGTGTAACCTAATCTTGTGACTATATATTTCACACATGAAAGTTAAGTTTCGAACTATACATTTGTTTATGTTACATTTTGTTTAAAATCTAACTTGTAACCGATTTTATGTCATCGATCAGTCTTGTAATATGGACAATAAACTGAATGAAACAAAATTACTGTCCAACACATTTATTACCTTATGGTTTATGGTAAATGCTGGAAAAGAAGCCTTAATTTACTCTTATCTCTGTGATTTTCTCTATATACAGTTAAATTCGTCCTAAAAACTTTCATAAATATGGATGAGAACACAATTTATGTCCCTAATGATATCAGTTATGAACAGTAAGTGGTATTTGAAGCGTCATTTAGTAATTATATTAGTAATTAATACTGTTTTATTGTGTGATATATGTCCACAAAATGTCCAAATTAATGTAGGATTACATAAGTCTAACTGTTCTGATGTTATTTAAATCTATCATCAAATAAAATATTTTTCACTTGACAGAAATCGATGATGATTTATATGAGAGGATAAATTCTGCTTAAGTCTATCGGAAGAAAACAGAAGACAGTTTGGGAAAGAAGGTCATTCTTTATGGGACAGTCAGCCAAAATAACCAGCAGAATTGTATGGTTACAAGTTGTGGTAGTTGTGGAGGAAATAGACGAGATAAACGATATTACAGTTGTTATTATTATTGGATTTCATCATGAGCTGACATTAGTTAGAGAACCATTGGAAAACCTGGGAGTACTGGACGGCTGTTTTGTTCTAGTTTGGGACTCTTCATCAGTACGCACCCATCGTGACGAGTAGAGTGCAGCAGGTCGGGTGTGAGGACAAATACTCGCCGAAGACATTGGCTAGGGGTAACGCTATGTCGTGAATTAGCAGAAGTTAGAATTTTATGTGCTGGCCAGTGGATTGGGTCCCAGTGGCTTAATGGTCTACGAGGTCGCTAGCCTTGTAACCAGAAGGTCCTGGGTTCCAACTGTGGTGGTGGTTGCGTACTGATGAAGAGTCCCAAACTAGGACGAAACAGCTGACTGTCCAGTACTGCCTGTTGGTTTTCCAATAGTTCTCTAACAGATGTCAGCTCATGATGAAATCCTGTAACCAATCAAATCCCTACAAACCAACACTTGAAGTTATTATTATTTGGGTTCCAAGTGGAACACAGAGATTAAATAGCACATCTCCCCTTTGTCCCACTCTCCAAAGTCCTCTTTAAATGACTCAACGACTGCCCATAGTCTCTCACCTCCTTCTCACACGGTCGCCTCCATGTCAGCCTCGAGAAATGCCTAACTCGTCGTTTCCCATTCGGATTCTACTCGAGTGATGGCCAGGTGCTCAATTTCACCTAACAATCTCCTCGGTGTGTGTCAGGTCTATCTCCACTTTTTGGCGGATATTTGTTGAGTAGTAGGTTGTTGTTTGGTTCGTCGCTAGCGTTTGTTTCTGCTAATTCCTTGTGGTCGGTTGATCTTCAGTATGGAGCCAGTGAAGTCAACTGTTGATAAAAGTCTACAGTGGCCTGTTGGAAATGCTCTCGTGGCGTCCCAAGTCTACTACTCATGTAAGAGTACTGACTGACTTAACGCTTGTGTGGAAAATCCGAATTTTGAAGTTTATTATTAGTGCAGAAGATTTCTAAACTGGTTACAGAGTGGCGAAGGTTTGTCCTGTCTCTCTGATTCTGACTTTTACATCTTAATCCATGCCATCTGTAGTTGAAACGAAGATACCTAGATATGTTTATTCAGTAGATGGGGACTGATGCTTGCTGTTGCTGTTGGTTGGTTATCTTCATGACCTCTCTCTCTTCTCTATAAATTACTTGAAGTTCTACCTTCGTTGCTTCTTCTGTTACTTGGTTGATTGGTTTTTGCCTTTAGGTCTTCGAGTTTGTGTGACATTAAACATTAATTATATGCGAAATCCGGATCTTCTAAAGTCTTCTTATCGGTCGTCCACTGTATTCTCGTCTTTTGGTTGTCCACAGTCTGATGCATAATCCAGTCCACCACAATTAAGAAAACTATCTATTGGTGATATCAACAGGAGTGATTCGAAAGAGGTTACTTCATTCACTTATCTAGGGAGCATTGTCTCAACTACAGGTAGTCGGAACGGACGAGAATGTCAGATTGAGCGAGAATCGGGGAGGCAGGCGAGAAACACATTCATCAACCAACTGAAACCAATCTGGAGATCTTCATCACTCAGCCAGTATCAACAACAAAATTCGATCGAATTTTCAATACAAACGTCAAGTCGGTCAGTTCTTCTATATGGATGGGATTAGAAACTTGGCGGGCGGGTCACAAAGGATATTTCCAGCAGCCTGTTGCAGACGTTACCTTTATCAACAACTTTCTTCGCTCTATACTGAGGATCAGATGGCCGAGCCGGAAAGAATCACCAACGAGAAACTATGGGAACAAACAAAACAAAACAAGAACCAATCGCCAACCAACAAATATGCAGGAGGAAGTGGATGTAGATGGATTGGACACTCGCTCGCTGAGGAGGCCCCTGGGTGACATGGCGCGCGCGTCAGGCCATTGCTCCAGTGGAACCCGAAAGGGAAGCGGAGAATGGGTCGTCAGTGCAAGGGTGACATGGAGGAGATCGTGTGAAGAGGAGTTGAAACAGTATGGGCTAACTAACATGGATGCAGGTGAAAAGTACAGCAGAAGGAAGACAGAAGCAAATGGAGGGAGACGTGCAGTTGAAGCCCTATGTTCCAGTAGGAACCCAAGGGAATGATAATAATAATCTATTGGTGATATCATGCGGCGTGTCTTACTTCTTCATTCATTTCTAGGGCTTCACTGAGTTTTCGTGGTTGATCACTTGACATGTGGCATTGTCATACAGCTGTTGAATATGGGTGATAAAGATTTGGAGCAGACCATTGTGTTGAAGCAGTTTGCGAGTTAATCCATAGCAAACACAATTATGAGAGGTAAGCGAATAATTATATTCAGTAGAATACATTAATCATTCACTGTTTTTCATTCATTTTTCTGAGTGTATTTTAAAGAAATCATATTTGAGTGAAAGCAAAGGCTTCGCATGTTCAGTTGCCAGACGTCTTGTGAAAATTTATCACCTTATAGATGACTCATTTCAAATATATTCAATGTGGGAAAAGTGGTGGGATCACTACAGTTCACACAGACAATTACCACACACCTGTTTTGACTGTATATGTGTGTGTGTTTGTGTGTGTGTACAAAATGACAGTAAGGTCAGTCTTTAACTCCATTACTGGTTTTACCTCACCCAACTGACTTCGACCTTATGTAGTTCAGTCTCATTATATGTTACACAATCTGTTGAGTTAGGATTGTTTCTTTTCCACTTTACAATGAATGAATCTTCTATTTATAATGCATACTCACTGACAAAGAGTAGCACATTGTTATTCACACATAATCACACGTAAAAATGAGGACATATGTTCATGTTTCAACTCGCACATAATACATTACTACGTCATACTCAGTTGGTTTGTTTTCCCACCATCTTGGTTACATAGAACTAACGTCTAGTAATTAATTAACCATTAACATTCCTTTATTCAGTTTGTTTTCATAAGAATCTATTGCGTAATTTACTTCAACAGTATATTTTACCTACACTTTGAATTAATTACACAATTCAGGCTAAGTTAAGAAGAAAGTAAAACAAATTTTAAAAAGTAAACAGAAGGAGAGAAATCTTTCTTGAATAAGGATTTTTTCAGTAAAACTACCAAACTTTCGTCAAATATTTGTTCACATACTCCGTATTTGTTGTTTTTTTTCTCACGTTTTTTTAAAGATTTCATTCAAGAACAAAGAAACGTGTAATGTCATCCTGTTTCCCCCACTTTGAAATGCTCAAGCTTCGTTGGCTTTTGTGTGTCATACATATACAGACAGACAGATAGAAATCTACCGTGTATTAGAGACCAATCATAAATAAGTCTTGTGCTATCTGACCTTGAAGTCGGAAATCTATCGATTTTCTATAACTTTATAGTTGATTTGTGTGCGAGATTCTAGTGCTGTTTAATAATGGCAGTAATTAAGCAATTGTCACCTAACATGAAGGCATCTAGTTGCATCCTAATGTAATCAATGTATGCCATCTACCTAACTTATTCTGATAACTTAACAATTGATAGTTGAATTTTAGTATTTTTTGTGTACAACAGATTGTTTGTGAAGAAAGGGCTTACGTCTGACGTAAACGCCTAGTAAACACACTAAATTTAACAGTTGTTTTAATCTAACATTCGATAACAGTAACATCATAACATTTCAGCGTCACTAAAGCAAAGAAAAGACTTCGTCATCGCTACTATTCAAAAATCATGACCAGTTTCAAGTGTTGAACAGTGAACACTTAGGTAGCCTGTTTAAATCACTAGGCTACTTAAATTTTCTATCCATCAGAATGTGCCGCGTTTTCATTCTGTTTTATATTGTTTTAATGGTTTGATTACCTCAATAAGTCGCCTCTCATACTGGTTGGAGGATTTCATCATGAGTTGACATCAGTTAGAGAACCATTGGAAAACCTGCAGGGAGTACTGGACTGCTGTTTCGTCCCCATATGGGAGTCTTTAATGGTACGCACCCACTGGTCCTGAACCTTCGGACCCTGGTGAGTGCGTAGAGTCACAAACCACGACGAAACAGCTATCCAGAACTCCCTGCAGGTTTTCCAATGGTTCTCTAACTGATGTCAGCTCATGATGAAATCAGAAAGATTGAGAGAAGAAATATTTACTTTTCGATTAGATCCTCATCTCTGGCTCTACTCTAATATATCCCCGTAGCATTTTTTATTACAATACACAACAGTTTACCAATCAAGTGTCACTGATATGTTTGTTAACAATAATTAGTCAGTGTCAAATTGTCAGTGGGTTAATAAATAACGAAGAAAATCAATACACATTTAAAAGGTAGAAATGGATAGAATAAATTAATTTTATAAGGATAACACGTAAATTAAAGATGAAGTGGTCAAAATTAATAAAAATAAAATAAATAATTTAGACACTTATAATTGTTAAATGTTTAGGGGGAGGGGGGCGACGTAGTCTTTTTTGTGCATTCTTGTGACGATGGCCACGGTAGAGAAAGTGGTTGTACAATTTTTTTCTGTACATATAGGCTTGGCTTCTTCAGGTGGATTCCGATTGCTTCAGCCGTCTGTAGAAGACGAACTGGCAGAGCGAAATTAAGATTAGTCGGAATGCGATAAATAATTTTAAATGCAGTATTCACATCGATCTTATGCTCAGTGTCAACGAGGTGGGCTAAAATAGAGCTACGAATAAATTTTGTTTGTCCCTTACTTGACCACGTTGGATGATGTTCGGAAATACGACAAAAAAGATCTATTCGTAGTTCTATTTTAGCCCACCTCGTTGACACTGAGCATAAGATCGATGTGAATACTGCATTTAAAATTATTTATCGCATTCCGACTAATCTTAATTTCGCTCTGCCAGTTCGTCTTCTACAGACGGCTGAAGCAATCGGAATCCACCTGAAGAAGCCAAGCCTATAAGTACAGAAAAAAATTGTACAACCACTTTCTCTACCGTGGCCATCGTCACAAGAATGCACAAAAAAGACTACGTCGCCCCCCTCCCCCTAAACATTTAACAATTATAAGTGTCTAAATTATTTATTTTATTTTTATTAATTTTGACCACTTCATCTTTAATTTACGTGTTATCCTTATAAAATTAATTTATTCTATCCATTTCTACCTTTTAAATGTGTATTGATTTTCTTCGTTATTTATTAACCCACTGACAATTTGACACTGACTAATTATTGTTAACAAACATATCAGTGACACTTGATTGGTAAACTGTTGTGTATTGTAATAAAAAATGCTACGGGGATATATTAGAGTAGAGCCAGAGATGAGGATCTAATCGAAAAGTAAATATTTATTCGCCTAATCTTTCTGTTTTCTAAATGTCTAAATGGGAATTTTTCCTTTATTGAGGATGAAATCCTCCATCCAATCAAACAAAATCCCTACAAAGCCAATACTTGACAATTTATGTTCGCTCTCAGTTTCAAATAACTTTCCTCCTACGGATAGGAATTTTTAGAAGGAAATGGAGAAAGAACATTGTGAAGTATTACTGGAGCAAGCTTCCGTTGGAACTATTGCTTCGAATGACATATTATCGATTATTATGTTATCTGAAGATTCCACACAATAAGTAAGTGCGTTTCAGTGAAGCTTGCTGAAACTTCTGTATTGTGTATCAACTCATTTTTCAGAATAGAACTATCATTATTATTATTATTATTATTATTATTATTATTATTATTATTAGAGCTAAACCCATCACATTTTTATTGTGATAACACTAAGTCTACTGTGACGTCATAAGGCTCATATCTTAGCGTTAACTGTTATATCATTTCTTAAGTTATGAATGTATACAGTATTCTCATTAACATTCGTACGCATCCTTAATTATTATTATATTTTGGAGGGATTCTGAGGAGGTTCATATAAAGGATGAGCAGTCTGACAGTTCATCCTTGTGTAAGGTCTTTTTGGCTTCACTGTTAGTTACAGTGGGTACAGTCTAAGAGCAGATACGATCCTAATTTCAGTGCAAACTTTTACATAGATAATAAGATTACTGGGGTAATTAAAGTATCAAAGCCAAAATGAAGGTTTGTCAAAACTTAACATTCAAGAAACAGTTAGATGTACTGAAACCTACGGTAGGTCATTGCAGGTCATATTACAGAGACACACACCAATTCTATAGAAGGCTTTTGGGGAATATTAAAAACATGATTAGGGGCATTAATCGATTTCAGAAGTATGTCATTTATAGTTATTTAGGTGGTTACATGTATAGAATGTGGTGTAGCTTTCCAAATGATACTCCTATGCTAAACTGGGAGATATCTTTACCATATGTCAGAGAACGGTATCCTATGAAACATTTTTATGCAGTTTTTATTCATTTTTTTCATAAATATATGTTTTCCATAACCAAAGATGCCCCTTTCATGTGGTCGGTGCGTTCAAGGTCATTCTCTGATCCGCAGTTGGTGGTGCTTAAAGTTTGACCTTGCCTCACTAGGTGCTTTTTCTGTTAAGGTTTAGACTTAAACTTAGAGTTCAGGGTTGGGGTAGATCAAAGAAGTGAGTCGGGAACATCAATAGATACCAAAGTACCATAGTCTGTAACCACCTGGAGGAATACGTCTATCCCGCACAGTATGATTTCTCTACTGTTCTTCCTTAGAATAAATGGGAGACATTGTTTTAACACGTAAGATGCAATTATCCAGTATAATATCCTGTTCGATGTACTTTTCAATACATTTTTTAACGATTATGTGACTTTTTTGTATCTAAATTCTGATTGTCTGTTTAGGATGATTGCGACTTTGGATCTGATACTTTACCTTCGCCAGATTACTTTTCCGACGTGTTATATGTTTTACATCAGTTCACGGAGGGTTTAGTATTTTCCTCCCAAGGTTTTCATATTATAATGGATTTCCTTGAATTTCTGTGTCGATTTCTCCCCAACATTATACTGTTCCTCTGAAATACAACAAGTATGGTTGTTATGAACACTAAAAGTTTGTACTGCATATGCTTATTCTTTTGGATTTCTAACAAAATAGACTTGGTGTCATGATATTTTATATGTGCGAAATTAAATGAAAAACATTATTACAGAATTTGGAAAATACCTAAATAACTTCGGACTAGTTTAAAGGTTTTCAGTAGTATAAAAATTTTGTTAAAAAACGTCAGTTATGAGTGGGATGTTAACAGGTAGAAAAATGTCTACTCTTCTTATTGTATATCTGATTAAATATTTGCAACTGATATAGTAGCCTATTTCCTGAATTAATTGTCCTCGACTAACAATACGAAAGGGTAGAATGCATCGTAAGATAAATTTCTCTTCGTATACGAAATGCTACTACAAAATATGATAAGTATGAGGAACAAAATGTCAACAGACGTAGCACGGAACTAGTAATGCACGAATGACAGTATTATGAGTCATTCATATAGATGATTTCAGCTCACTTCTAAGCTACTTGTATGAAGAAGGAGTTGGAAAATGCTTGATTGCCAGAAGAACTATTTGATATTAATGTGGATAACAGATTGACGCTTGCGGTTACGTTTTCGCCTGTAAAGGTGCATTTTATGTTTTAAGAAACGATTGATTGTGGAGGAATATTTCAAACCTTTAACACGAGGGAAATCCTTGGGAATCACAAGGACAATAAAAAAAACAGTAGCAACGAACAAATGAACAGTGTGAAGATGTTCTATTCAAATTAACTTACCTCTATGATTTGATCTCCAGCTTTGAGGCCAGCTTTTTCAGCATTTCCATCTGTCGAAATAAAGAAGGGGAAATTAGTAAACCAAAATGTAAGCAAAATACTGTATTATGGTTCTAAAAATACTTTAAATTATGGTTATATACAGATTAGATTTTGTCAAATGATTGGTTACCAAAATGACAAAATTCCCGGTCGATTTAAAAGTGATCTTGTCAGTATCAAATGGGCACATTCTCAAAATGCATAGGTAATATTTGAATCTTTCACACTATTCTGAAACAATTCAATGATTAGCAAGCATTGATGTTGAAATATATGGTGGATATTTGCTTCAGTAAAAGACGAACTGTGTTACAACATAGTTCAGGCTGAAAACTAATGATTGATTTTAATGGTTAGATACCACTCACATGTGCCAGTAGTGCTTACTAATCGGATTAGTGCTACAATAGCGTACACATGTTCGAATACTTCACTCTGGACTCAACTATTACTTTGTCTAATATCCGGCAATCGATTCATTCATATAATACAGTTCTGCAAAGGAATTAGTTGTGGCCTTATCAATTTGTTTAGAGCTTATATCAAGTAGACTGAAGTGATAATATACCATGGCTAATATAAATACACAAATCAACCAGAAAGTGGAAAACTCATAATCTTTACTAGTTAACCAGCTCTATGTAGGCTAATGTAAAGGCGAACTTGATACTACTTTAAAGTATTCTATTGTCACTTAGTAAATGTATTATCAACATGCTGTTTAGCAGCTTTATTACTTAGAAAGTATAAAAATACTAAGTAAAACTGGAGAGTAGCCAGTTAGAAAAAGTTGAAACATGATAATCTAGTTTCTGATGATTTAATCGACATGGAATCTTGTGTAAATTTCTATTTGAGTTTTATTCCCCTTATACAATTAATCCACTCTCTAACATTTCTTTATTGTACAAACAGTCAGCCTGTCTACAGACATAAGAAGTATAAAGCGCTATCTGTAACAGTATAACAATTAAACTGTCAGTGTTACAACGTGTTTCATAGAATATCTCTGAATAATACCAACCAGAAAAGTGAAAAAGGTGGATATTCTGTAACTTCACTCGGTCAGCCTTTAGTTCTTTGAATTGTTAAACAAACAGTATTCTTTGTGAATTGATGGTCATGTAATAGTTGCAAGGAATCTCAGTGACCATTTGATCAAGGTCCCTCTTCTCAGGAACTGTTTTTTGACAGTTTATTCGCGGTCGTGTTATCTTGCAATAGTCTAGTTTATAAGTTTACTTAGTTTATAAGTTTACTTAGTATTTGTTCATCTGTGTAATGTCTTTACTGCGTTTAGCGAGAGTGAAACGTTAACTGGTCCTGTTGTGTCTGGTGCTACTGATAAGGTTTATCAGTAGTATATAGACCTCACCAGATTACTAGCTTGCTAGGCCACTAGCTTCCTAGTTTTCTAGCCGGTCCCAAGCCCGGATAAAGAGGGAGGGTTGGGGCGTGGTGCTAGCAACTCCACCCACGTAAAACAACCAAATCGCTACAGAAACTTCAACGAATAAATATATTAAAAATTCTAAAAACATAAGCAATAGCCTTACTTTTCGCTGGAATCGGGGAAGTGAAATGACGCAGGCTGGTGAAAGCCTTCGGGAAGCCAGTCAGCCGATGTGCCTTCTTTCGATGAAAGCAAAAGTAAGGATGGGTACCTGGAATGTTCGTACAATGTACGAAACTGGAAAGGCTGCCCAGATAGCCGCTGAAATGAGAAGGTACAGAATAGAAGTGTTGGGAATCTGCGAAAGCAGATGGAACGGAACTGGAAGGTGCCAACTACCTACTGGAGAGACAGTAATCTATTCCGGCCACCCAGAGGACAACCACGAGCACACCGAGGGAGTGGCCATCATGATGTCACCAACAGCAGCCAAAGCTCTCATGCAGTGGGAACCAATCTCCTCCAGGATAATGACAGCCAGGTTCAACTCAAAAGGAAGGAAAGTTACAGTCATTCAATGCTATGCGCCTACAAACGTCTCAGAACAAGAGAAGAAGGAGGCGTTCTACAGACAACTACAAGCAATAATGGACAACGTCCCAAATGGCGATATCAAAATCCTGATGGGCGACATGAATGCGAAGCTGGGAGGAGACAACACAGGAAGAGAACTCACCATGGGTCGTGAGGCCCTCGGTGAAATGAACGACAATGGTGAACTCTTCTCAGACTTCTGCGCCTTCAATGATTTGGTGATTGGCGGCGGTGTGTTCAAACACAAGGATATACACAAGACGACATGGATTTCACCAGATGGAAACACCAAGAACCAAATAGACTTCATCTCAATTTCAAGAAAGTGGAGACGGAGCCTACTGGACACAAGGTCAAGGAGAGGAGCAGATGTGGGTTCAGACCACTATCTAGTACAAGGGACTTTCAAGGTAAAGAGGATAGCTGGGGATAGGCCACAATGCAAGTTCAACACTCAATTACTGAAGGACACAACCACAAAAGACACTTTCACTGCAACTGTCAGAGCAAAGCAGGAAACACTACGCGACATCACTGAAGAATCATGCGTGGAAGAACATTGGAAGTCTCTGAAGGCGATTCTCAACGAAACGTGTTCAACGGTTCTAGGAAGAAAGAAGAGACAAGACAAGGAATGGCTCTCAACGGACACTTGGAAATTAATAGAAGAGAGGAGAATGGTGAAAGAGAAAATGATTCAATGCAAGGACGGACAGGAGAAGGAGACGCTGAGCTCAACTTACACAGCACTGGACAAAGAAGTGAAGAAGAGTGCTAGGAAGGACAAAAGACGATTCTACGACAACCTCGCCACTGAAGCTGAGAAGGCAGCAGGCAAAAGGGACCTGAGGACACTATATCAGATAACCAAATCTCTATCCGGGAAGAGATCAACACAAGCGAAACCTATAAAAGACAGCCAAGGGAACCCAATTACCAAGGAAGAAAAACAGATTAAACAATGGGCGGATCACTTCAAAGGACTCTTGAACCGACCATCACCTGCAACCCGTCCAGAAATACCAACAACAGCGCGCACACAACTGCAAGTTGACACCAATCCTCCAACGAGAGCTGAAGTCTTGAATGCAATCAAGCTTCTGAAAGCTGGAAAAGCAGCCGGACCAGATGGAATACCCCCTGAAGCACTGAAAGCGGACCCAGAGACTACAGCAGACATGCTGACTCCATTATTGCAAAAGGTCTGGAAGGAGGGAAAGGTGCCTACTGACTGGAGGAAAGGTTACCTCGTGAAACTACCAAAGAAGGGCGACTTAGGCCTCACTCTGCAAGAACTGGCGAGGAATCATGCTCCTATCGACGCCAAGTAAAATCCTGAGTCGCATCATCCTGGAGAGATTAAAGGACGCACTGGAGACAGAACTCCGACCAGAACAAGCTGGATTCAGGAAAGGCAAATCATGTACTGACCAAATTGCAACTCTACGCATCATCATCGAACAAAGCATGGAATGGCAATCAAACCTCTACCTCAACTTTATAGACTTTGAGAAGGCCTTCGACAGCGTTGACCGTGAAGTAATTTGGAAATTACTCGAGTACTACGGCGTACCCCAAATATTCATCAACCTTATTCAACAGCTGTACGACAACGGCACATGTCAAGTGATCCACAACGGAAAACTCAGCGAGGCGTTTGGAGTAAACACAGGAGTCAGACAAGGGTGCTTATTATCACCAATGATATTCCTAATTGTGGTGGACTGGATTATGCGTCAGACAGTGGGAAACGAGAAGACAAGGATATCCTGGACCGACCGACGTGAAGAACCTAGAAGACCTGGATTTCGCGCGTGGATGATTTATGTTTGATGTCACACAAAATCGAAGACTTACAAGCGAAAACCGACAAACTGGTCGAAGAAGCAGTCAGCAAAGACAGGACTCCAGGTGAACATAGACAAGACGGAGGTTATGAAAATAACCAACCAACCAACAACAGCAACAACAACATCCAGCTTCAATCACCATCAACGGGAGGGATTTGAAAGAGGTTACTTCATTCACTCACTTATCTAGGGAGCATTGTCTCAACTACAGGAGGAACGGACGAGGATGTCAAATCGGGAATCGGGAAGGCGAGAAACACATTCATCAACCTGAAATCAATCTGGAAATCTTCGTCACTCAGCATCAATAACAAAATTCGGATTTTCAATACAAACGTCAAGTCAGTCAGTTCTTCTATACGGATCAGAAACTTGGGGCGGGTGGGTCACAAAGAATATTTCCAACGGCCTGTTGCAGACCTACTTTCATCAACCAACAACTGTCTTCGTTGGATGTATACTGAAGATCAGATGGCCAGGCCGGAAGGAATCACCAACAAGAAACTATGGGAAAAAACAAAACGAGAATTGACCGCCCAACAAATATGCAGGAGAAAGTGGAGATGGATCGGACACTCGCTGAGAAGACCGCTGCGTGACATCGCGCGTCAAGCCCTCGAGTGGAACCCGAAAGGGAAGCGGAGAATGGGTCGTCAGTGCAAGGGTGACATGGAGGAGATCGTGTGAAGAGGAGTTGAAACAGTATGGACTAATTAACATGGATGCAGGAGAAAAGTACAGCAGAAGGAAGACAGAAGTGGCAAGTGGAGACGTGCAGTTGAAGCCCTATGTTCCACTAGGAACCCAAGGGAACAATAATAATAATAATATAAAGGGGCGTTCATCGGTATAAAAACATCAAATAACAGGGAGAAACATTTGATGTCAGAGAAAGCAAATATACAACATTGTGGAGATACATAAGAGAAGTGAGGGGAACACAAAGAAACAAAATACGAAGGAAGATCTATGGAAATGGGGAGTTGAAGATAGAGTGTACATGATTTGGCTATATTGAGATACCAGATTGCTTTACCAAGCATCCAAGAAGTACGGATAACTGTTTCATCCTTGTCTGCGTACCCATGAAATCACTGGGGATCAAACTTAAGACATTCACATCACGAGGTAGGTTGGTTGATCATTCAGCCACCGGGATTGATTCTAACGG